GGAGATTCTTGGACAAAGCCTTTTCTGGAAGCCTGAAACCCACTCCAGTGCCACTCAGCAAATAAGGCACTACAGCATCTGTGTACTATTTTTCCCAGAAAGGAAAATTCTACATATTGTAACAAACAAAAACTGTGATGCTTCTGCTCTTTGAATTCTTAGAGAAGAGTTAAGTGACAGATCCATGAAATGTGCCTCAGATAAGGAGAAGAATCATGCATGGATGTACCAGGACCCTGCATTCCCTTCAAAGAAGCTGTCGTCAGAGTTCAGAATATGCTCAACCCAGCACTACCACTCTGCAGAGGTCAGAAAGTTCTCTCTGGGTGCCTTCCACCGCCCCCTCCCCCCCCCCCCAAAAAAAAGGAACAGCAAGAAGTGGAGGACTGCACAGCCATCAGGAGAAGCAGCACAAAGAGGACACCTGAGAGGATAAAATCTCAGGAGGGTGCACAAGGTCAGAGTGAGAACACAGGGTCAAAGACAAACGTCAGTCTCTCGGTGTCCTGAGACTTCACTGTCATGTCACAGCTCCTGATCTGAATGAGGTCCTGAGCAACAACTCCAGCATTCGTGATTAATAACGTCAGAAAAACTCCCTGGTGTGGATCCTAACCCAGGGGGAATTTCTTCCCGTGATGCCTTGTCTCAGTGGGGGTGACCATTGGTACTTTGGCATGTCATCTCTTGTTTTGGTAAACCTTCTTGAAGGTTTCCCTTCTCCCTTATCTGACCCAGGAAGCATAGTAATTGTCATGTTTTCTTTGGATGCTAGAAAGGTCCAGGTTCTGGAGACTTTGCAACCATTCACTCTAGAATCCTTTGAAGGCGCAAAGAAAATACCTTATTTTGCTCAATATGTCTGGGAATACTTAGAAGAACAATGGCCATCTAACTTTGAAAACATCAGCTGGTATCCTTACCTTTTGGTTACACAGATGGTTAGAAACACAGAAAATATAGTATTCATAGGATTATGATAAGTTGACATCTTTTCTTCATAAATTAACAGTTCTCTCATCCATCTAAGGGATTTAATCAACTTGGATGACTAAGATCATGACCTCTATGCAGATTGTTCTAAAATCTAAGTTTTAACTTTGATTTCTTAGCTGTATGCTTTTTCCATATGATTACTGCTTGCAGTGTGCATCTATTTTTAAAAGATGTATGTATGTATGTATTTAGGGGAGTAACAGAGAGGGAGAGACAGAGTAAGATCTTTCATCCGCTGGTTCACTTACCAGTGTCTGCAATAGCCAGGTCTGGATCAGCCTGAAGCCAGTATCCAGGACCTCCTATCCTTTCCATGAGTGACAGGAGCCCACACACATGGGCCATCTTCTGCTGCCTTTCTAGGAGAATAAGCAGGAAGCTGGATAAGAAGTGAAGTCCTTGGGCTCAAAGCAGCAGTCCAGTACGCACCACAATGCAGGCTCCCATGTATCCATTTAGCAGTCCACTGTCGTCTCAAATCATCAACTGCTAAAGAGACTCAGCATTCTAATCCCAACCCATCCCCTTTTTGCTCTTTGTGATGACCCAGCTCTTCCAAGACACAATACTAAAGTTTTGGAATAATTTTTAAAAATATCTTCTACATTACTGCCTTCCAAACATACCTTTAAATTACCCTTCCCTCTACTCTGTACTATTCGGTGAGTATTAGCATTAGTGTAGCAGGCGCTGCTCTCTACAAGTTTGCTCCTGTAATTCTGAATTTCTTAAAACACTGATTTTCATTCTGCCATTTTCTAGCTTAAGAGAAAGTATGACTCCCCACAAGTATGTGAACTTCTTTCTAATTTTTATAGCTTTCCATCAGTTGTGTACTCCTCTACCCAAGATCATTCAAATATTAATAGATAATTTGACCAGCTCACAATACTTCCTCCTCTCCCTGCCTCTTGCCATCACTTCCCTCTAGACATGGAACTGTGTGTTTCCCCATCACACTGATACTGGCCGTGGATATGTCACTTCGTTTTGCCAAAATTAATTAATGGAAATGATGAATGTTTGTTTTGTACTAAGTCTTTAAAAGGCAAAATCTCAACATCTCTAGTGTCTGACATCTTCCACTAAGCAAGCATGCCCCAGGTCACCAAAACTCTTGCAACATGGGTCCTTGGATGAGAAAATGTGGCCTGGAGCCTGGAGACAAGTGCACATGAAGTCAGGAAAGCTCACCCAAACCCAGCAGAGTCATATCTAACCTGTAGTATCATGGGTGGTATAAACGTCTAAATCTGGAGCTTACTTATTACACAGAAAACTGACTGGTACACTAAGTTCAAACTCCATTCTCCACCTTGAATGAGACTTGACTTTTGCCTCGTTTGTTCTTCCTGCAATCGCTCCCATGCCCTCCACACACAACTTCATAAATCTTAGATGAAGCTCTCTTTGATGGACGAAGTTATCTCTGACTCTTAATATCTCTGAATACTCACTCAGGTTCAATAAAGACTGGCATAAATATATTTATTTAATCTCTGATTTATTTCATTTTTAATTATAATGCTCAGTCATATTCACTCAGTGGTCTATGTTTTGGCACCTTCTTGAGAACGCTATCTATTAATGTGTTAAAAGAACTCTGGCACAGGTCTTCAAAGAAGGAGGTACCTTTCTCTGAAGGGAGGAGAGTACTTCCACTTTGACTATGACCTTGTCTAAATAAGATAAGAGTCAGTGAACTCAAAAGGCTTCCATAGCCTTGGCAACTCATGACTGGAGCATAGGGAGATTACTGAGGCCATAAACAGGAGTGTCAATTTGTAAAGTCAACAACAGAAGTCACTGTGCACTTACTCCTCAGGTAGGATCTCTGTCCTTAGTGTGCTGTACATTGTGATTTAATGCTATAACGAGTACTCAAACAGTATTTTTCACTTTGTGTTTCTATGTGGGTGCAAACTGTTGAAATCTTTACTTTATACTAAACTGATCTTCTGTATATAAAAAAAATAAAAGAACTCTGGCATTGAGACAGAAGACAAGGGTTCAAATCTTGGTTCTGAGCAGGCTATATAATCACTCTGAAAGTCAATGTCTTCATCTTTAAATTGATGGCTACAATTCCAGATTCAGAGGAAGGATTAAACCAGATGGCATATACTATATGCTCTATACAGGTCTTCCTCACTCAACTTCACTTACATTGACTCCACTTTTCTTTTTCTGTGATGTAACAAAATCATTTAATGCAGATGTTTGGAATAATTTTGCGGAGTTTGCCTACATCTTTCTCAAATAGGCTAAGACAAACCAACCACCTTCTAATGCTTATGAAAAATGAAGTTTAAGCTAAAAATTATGAAGATGCATGTTTACAGTCCAGTAGATATTTCAGGGATATTTTCCTGCTTCAATAATTTAATAGTACAGACTAGACATCATACTAACTTAAATAATTAGAAAGCAGGGAGTGGATAGATTGTGCTGTGCCGACATTCTGAAGGTCAATAAAAATAAGTGATCTAAACAGTCTAGGAAATAAAGGAGGCTGAAAGAAGTACTTGGGTTGAATATTTAAAAATTAGTAAGACGGCCGGCGCCACGGCTCACTAGGCTAATCCTCCGCCTAGCGGCGCCGGCACACCAGGTTCTAGTCCGGGTTGGGGCGCCGGATTCTGTCCCGGTTGCCCCTCTTCTAGGCCAGCTCTCTGCTGTGGCCAGGGAGTGCAGTGGAGGATGGCCCAAGTGCTTGGGCCCTGCACCCCATGGGAGACCAGGAAAAGCACCTGGCTCCTGGCTCCTGCCATCGGATCAGCGCTGTCCGCCGGGGCGCCAGCAGCCCGGCCGCGCCGGCCCATTTGAATGGTGATCCCATCGGCAAAAGGAACGACCTTTCTCTCTGTCTCTCTCTCTCACTGTCCACTCTGCCTGTCAAAAAAAAAAAAAAAATTAGTAAGACAGCATAGGCAGAAGGTTGAAAGAAGAGTGTAACATCAATGCATCCCAGTAGAAGGAAAAAGACATGACTTACATGAAGACAGTAGAAGATCATTCTATAAAACAGAATGTATGCACCAACCCAAAGCAAAAATGAGGTTGGCTTGTTATCGTGGAACCTGATTAGGAAGGCAAAACTGGGGGGGCTGGTGCTGTGGTATAGCCAGTAAAGCTGCCACCTACAGTGCTGGCATCCCATATGGGCACTGGTTCAAGTCCTGGCTGCTCCACTTGTGATCCAGTTCTCTGCTATGGCTTGGGAAAGCAGCAGAAGATAGCCCAAGTCCTTGGGCCTCTGCACCTACACGGGAGACTGGGAAGAAGCTCCTGGCTCCTGGCTTCGGATAGGTGCAGCTCAGGCCATTGTGGCCATCTGGGGAGTGAACCAGCGGATGGTGGACCTTTCTCTCTGTCTCTACCTCTGCCTCTGTGTAACTTTACCTTTCAAATAAATGTAAATAAGTCTTAAAAAAAAGAAGGGTGTATGTTGTTGCCAAGTATTATATGTACTTGGACAGAACAATGGTCTAAAGGACAGATGACAGACAGATTGAGCGTACTATTCCCTCAGTTCTTAATAATTATGCAAAAGTATTTTGCATTTTCTCTAAATTCTTATAATTTCTGATCTCCTTCCTGGATCATGCAATGCATTTCCCTCAGCCATAAACCTAGAAGAGGTCCAACCTTTTAACATTCTGGGGACTACAATAAATAATGACACCTTCTGAAATGCCTTTCTAATCTTTTAATCTTTAATATTTTACATTTATTGATTCTGATTCCTTGTCCCTAACCTATGTACACAGATGAGGAGAGCAGGGAAGATGAGAGAAAATTTTAAATATTGTAACATTTCATCAGGAGTTGGATTCATATAACTTGAAAAGATTTATATTATAATGACCTTTCTAATATGGGAAAAATCATGTGCATGCTTTTCTGTGTTTGCAATTTACATTTTAATCTTCTTAAAATTTTTCTTAGAGACAGGTTTTAGAAAGACTATATATTCCAGATGATAAAAAAGAGGTGATACTTACACAATTTTTTCATAAAATGGATAAAATAGTGAATACTTGAACTTCCTTGAGTTGTTTGGCAGGTAAGACAAATTCCTGAGCTGAAACTTAACTCTTCTCTCTGTCAGTAATCACGAAGCAGACATCAGTATTTCTGTGGAAACCTGAAGGCCTTTCTATCACATTCTTACTCTAAAACAAAGGAAGAGAAAAAAGTCTACTTAGTTACTTTGAAAAACATGACTTTGGTATTAGCATGCATTGAGTAGAAGACAGACTGCAAGGTAACAAAAGGGAAAAACTGATTTAGGAGCCAAAAGAGAAAAGATAGTTATTGTTTTGTTTCATTGTCTTTTTTCCTTTGCTAAAACCTATTTTCTCTCTTCCCAGACACATGCTATAGTGACATTCAGATTTCCAGTTAGACTGCCAAATCTTTTAAATGATCCTACTCCTGCCACCCAAACACAATGTGGCAGGGGGTTCATCTGATCTGGTGTTTCCTGACTCTGAAGTTTGATTACACCACTTCCCTTTTCCATCTACCCAGCACATGGGATAAAGATCCAAAATCTAGATGGATATTTTCCTTTCTGCCTTAAACTTTCTGAAATCAGTTACCTTGAGGTCAACAAACTCTATACCCAGAGGGAAGGAAAAATGATTACAGAATAATGGACATGTTTGTACAGTGGATATTTGCATGCTGAGTAAACTAGCTCTGGGGATCCTATCTGATCAAAAGCAGCCAAAACAACATGAAGATTGGGAGAGCTAAAGAAAAAAGTAAGATGCTGTTTGTAAAATCTGAACATGTGTCATGTTACTAATAAATGGACAGTGAGTCTCTTTGAACTTGTATAGTTTCTACTCCTAAAACACAGAGGAACACATATCTTGAGTTTAACCTTAATCCACTCCTAAAAGGACACGAGACCACCAACACTCTTGGTGTCAAATATTGTAGTTTACAGTGAAGACAAAAGGAAAAAGTGTGACAGTGAACATCACAATTACAGGTGATGGGGTTAAGTCTAATCTTCGAGAAACCCCCTTTGCCCAGTTCGCTCCATCTTCCCAGGTCATTCTAGCCCGAACTCTTCAGTTCACCTAAGAATCCCTCTCCAGCCCCTGCCCCTGCCCAGCTCTCTTTCTAACTTTTAGCTTCCAGTGTCAAGTATCGTATTCTATTCTCTTATATTTGAAGGCATTTTCTGTGATGCCTACTACAATAGTATGTGCATATTTGATACTTCATTATTTGCTATAAGAACTCTGGGCTGGTTTGGAAAGTGCCAGAATAGAGCTCTCCAGCGCACACTGAGGTTGTGCAGCAACAATTCCACATAAACACATTGATTTAACTTTAAATAATAGACAGTCAAGACCGCTCCATATACTACTTCTTTTCAGTTGCAGAACTTCAGCAGATCCAGGATAACATGTGGCAGAGGGTAGGAATGGCAGCGAAGGGAGGAGTTTGTGTCTGGAGCAGCTGCAACCCCAGGATGAGCCAAATAAAACTTCAAGCTAAATCCTTGATGTCTCCGTGGCAGGGATGGCTTGGTAAATAAGGGGCCCTCTTGGAAACATTTAATGAAAGCAGTTTGCCCTGTTCTTCTTGGTGGTATGAGGGTGACCACACTGTTGAGTGTGGTCAGGCACTGCCCTTGCTGTCCAGAAACCAGGGTACTCTTTGCAGCTTTATCAGGGACACACAGGATCAACATTTTGCTGTGGCATTTTCATCTGAAAACTGAGGCAGAGTGGTGGCACTTTTCTTACCTTCCCCAGACTGTGATTTTGAAGATCCAATGATGGAACTCAGAACTGAGCGAAGAATATGCACCAAAAAAATTTGTTGAGTGAATAATTATTGCTGAAAGTTTGCTGAGCACAGGTGGTTGTACAATAAGCAAATTATTCAATACAGACCTCACTCAAATCAGGAAACGAGGTATTTCCTGATATCTTACCTTTATTCCCATGTTCTTTTTTTTATTCTTTAGACAAAGAAAGAGAGAGGGCGAGAGAGAGAGAGAGAGAGAACTGCTATTTTACTTCCCAAATACCCAGATCGCTCACAAGGACGGCTGGGTTCCAGCTACTTTAGCCATCACCTGCTGCCTCCCAGAGTGTTCACTGGCAGGACGCTGGAATCAGGAGCAAAGCCAAGATGCGAACCCAGTCACTCCCAGGTGGGAAGTGGCTTCCCTGGTGACATCGCTGCACAAAATGCCCAACGCTTCCTCCATCTTCAGTGCTGCTCTACATTGCTAATGACTGATTAACTATCATAACTTAAAAAGCAAAGAAATATTCCAAATAGTAGACAGATATTGCCCTGCAAGGCGATTCAGCATCTCTCAAGCATGGGCTACACCCAGTGACTTCCTTACAAAGGCAGTATTCTTAGAAATCAGTGAAGAAAGTACCTTTACAGCAGGAGAAACTGGACGGCACTACCTGCAGCAGATGACCGAGGTGAACATCAGCACTGACGATGCACGTTGAGAAAATGTTTCCTCATTAGCGTATGATGAGACTGGCACTTGCACTTCACAGTCTTCATTGCCAAAGGAAGTTCATGATTGCACAACAGTGCAGTCATGAAAAAACCAGCAGACACCCTGGACGGAAGCACACCCGACAAACCACTTGATAGCAAGGTAATCACAACAAGGAGATGTGGGTGTTGGACATGGCAACTAAGGTGCCCCTTGGGATCCTCATATTCCATACTAGAATGCTTGGGTTCGTGTCCTGGCTCCATTCCAAATTCCTGTAGTTGGATCCACCCAAATGGGAGACCTGGATATTGTTCTCATGTTGGTCCCGATTGACATGGGCATTTGAATCAGCAAATGGGAAGCTCTGTCTTTTTTGTCTCTCCATATCTCTCTCTCTCAAAATAGTTACTCTAAAAAAAGGAAAGTCTTAGCAAATCACAGTATAGCATACATGAAGGAAAAATGACCAGTACATGGAATGCTGTATCCAGGATGGGAATCTGCGATAGCAAAAATACAGTAGCTAAAAACTAAAGAAATCTGAACTAATAATGGGCTTTAGTTAATAGTAAAGTATCAATGTTGGGTCATTACCTGTGAGAGGATAGATTGATCCTGAGTGTATAGGAAACATTATATATATATATATATATATATATATATACACACACACACACACACACACATACACATGGGAATGTATACTGTATTTTCTAACTTTCTTTAAAGTAAATTCTTTTAAATTTAAAACTTCACTTATAAGAACAAGGACATGATCTGGCTGAGTACTTTTTTTTTTTTTTTTTGACAGGCAGAGTGGACAGTGAGAGAGAGAGACAGAGAGAGAAAGGTCTTCCTTTGCCGTTGGTTCACCCTCCAATGGCCGCCGCTGCAGCCGGCGCACCGCGCTGATCCGATGGCAGGAGCCAGGATCCAGGTGCTTTTCCTGGTCTCCCATGGGGTGCAGGGCCCAAGCACCTGGGCCATCCTCCACTGCACTCCCTGGCCATAGCAGAGAGCTGGCCTGGAAGAGGGGCAACCGGGACAGAATCCGGCGCCCCGACCGGGACTAGAACCCGGTGTGCCGGCGCCGCAAGGTGGAGGATTAGCCTATTGAGCCACAGCGCCGGCCAGGCTGAGTACATTTTATGTAGAACCCCCCTGTACTTTGCCTGGAGATATGGGCCCTTGCTTTGTGAGTCACTGAGTCCTAAGTTCTGACTCCTGCATGTCTGTGTGTGTGTGTGCATGTGCACACCTGTGTGTTAACCTTATCTAAGGTGCAGAGTTGTTACTGAGCTTCTTATGCAGACTACAGCATGCAATTGGCAGATGACTGCTAGACTAAGCATACATTTAATCACTTTTGATTTACTGTGAGTATGCTGAGAGCAATATAGTATGGAGTATTTCTGAGCAAGGACTCTAGTACATAACTCCAGAATCAAAAATGCTGTCTCTGAAGCATTTTGACATCAAATGGCACTAAATAAGGTTAAGAAATAAACAAGAGATTAGGAATCTAAAGAATTAGACTTAGTGGTATCTCTGCTGCTGAAATGTTGTGGGACTTGAACACATGTCTGAGCTTTGGAGATTTTTTTTTTTATTTCAATAAATGAATTTATTTACTTGAGAGGCAGAGAGACAGTGTGAGAGAAAAGACAGGCGGATCTTCTGCCTGCTGGGTCACCCCGCAAATTCCCACAGTTCCCCTAGATGAAGTCAGTGGCTGAAGTCCAGTACCCCTGGATGAAGGCAGCAATCCAATTACTTGAGCCATCACTACTGCCTCCCAGTGTGCACATATCTGAAAACTGGAGCTGAGAAATTAAGCTGGGAAAGGAACCCAGATCCTCCAATGTGAGATGCAGGCATCTCAACCGCTAGGCTAAAAACCGATCCCTCGATGTTTTGTCTCGAAGGAAGGCATTGAAATTTGGATCAATGGCACTGATAAACATTCGGAAGTGTCCCACCCACTGGTGTCTATGGCTCCTTGAGAAGGCTTGCCTGGGTGTAGGTATAGTTTATCATGACTCCTTGCTACAGAAACAGAGAGTGAAGGATTTGGATGAAAGAAAGTGCGTTCCCAACACCAAAGCCATAAGCACAGTCAAGTAGCCCTTCACTCACACCAGTTAGGAAAAAGAAGGCCACTGCCACCCACACTGCTTGCGAACAGCGACTCAATCCACAGGCACTCTTTTCCATTCATCGCGACTTGTTGAAAAGTTTGAGGTGCTAGATGCTGCAATCTGCTATTCGTCTTTGCTTAAAGAAAATAAGAGCAGAGAAATTCTATTCTGTTTGTGCAGCACAGTCTACATGAAGGTCGTATGTATGTGCAGAAATATATACCCTAGGCCTCGGATCTTCTGTTCAGTGGTGAAAAATTGCAGCAGGAAATGCCTTCCTTATTAATAAGGCAACAAGGGGAGATGGAGGTGTTGTTTGGCTGAGCTTTGAGGATGCTAATTGAAAGTCCAGAGTGTGGTGCCTTCATTGATTTCTGCTGGAACCAGAGAGCACGGCTTCCTCTTTAATGCAGCTATTCTGGGAACTGTCATCTAACGTGAGTGGAAACAGAATTCTGTGTAAGCAAAATCAAAGAAGTAGTTCACAAACGACTCCCACCAGTCTTTGGAGAAGCCTGGGCAGCCACAATAAGTTTATCTTGCTGTTGATACAGACAACAATCTGAACCACCCAGGGGTGTGTGGGAACTTGAGCCCCAAGGGGCAGGGCATATCCGAGTTTTCTGGGAGAAATTCCCAGGCAACTTGTGGAAGTGCTGTTCTAAAGAAGACTGGTGGGAATTTCTAAGGGGGACAGAATTTTGGGGTTCCAGGGCCGGGCAGAGGGAGAGGAAATATTTTTTTTTTCTTCTGAGAATGCTTTTTAAGAGCAAAATGAGGGACCCACAGTTGGACTGGCTTCTTAGAGACAAGTTCTATGTGATTAATTCTATCAAGGAAAAGAAACAGTGCCTCCTTGCTAAGCTTTGTAAAGGGGTTCATATAAATTTGCGTAAAATATTATGTGGGATTAGCATAGCCAGCCAGAAATCTAGAGGAGCCAGGAGTCAAGTGGGAGCTCAGCCAACAGGAGAAGCGGGAGATGAAGTGGGTGAAGGCTGCCAGCCCCAGGACCCCTGCCAAGGCAGAGCTGCCGCGCACAGAGGAGAAGGGCAGGGGGCGGGACGCTATCATTATTCTCGTGGCTGCTGCTTTTGCTTTGCAGACATATTTCCGCGGCCTCTTTCCCCCAGAGGATATTCTCGTACTTCCAAACAGGGTTTCTAAGGATACAACAAGGAGGTTCGTTTGTTGTTAGGTTCCGTTGGGCCCAGCAAGACTGAGGTAGAGGAGTGGGCAATACAGATAGCTCCTAGCCTCACAATTGCTGCAACACAAGATAAAAAGGCTGAGTGTAGCACACAAGGGGCTCACCCTTTTCCCCAGCAGCAGGTCCAGGGAGTACACAAGTCCTATGCCTCCCATGAGTTCTTCCCTGGTCCACTTCTCCAAGAGTCAGGAATGGGAACTATGAACAGTTATATCAGGATAGGCCCAATGGCGTCTTTTCAACTGCACTAAGACTGGGTTGCTTGGCCATATTCCTATTATAAAAGCACAAAAGATTGCTCAGAA